CCAAAAAGTATAGGAGTTGAGAGCCTGGTATAGTATAGTAGGAGTAACCCAGGAGACCATCCACTTCTGTAACTTAGCAGGAACTCAGGAGCAGAATCTGGCTGGTGTGGGGGAAGAACAGATTGCCTTTGCCTTTGCTGCCACTACAGAGGTATCTTTGTATGGGTCTGGTGTTTCAGAACAAAATGGCATGCAGGAACTTCTTGCAAGTGTGTACCTTAACATGGAGCATAGGAGTGGTAATGGCTGTTTGAACCATGCCAAATGCTCTTTAGGTCACCAGAATACAGCTCCTCAGCTGGCCTGATAGGATGTGCCCTGAGTGACCATGTTCCTTTGACACTTGCCACCTTCAGGACTTCCAGCTGGAGGCTATGGCTGTGTACAGTAAAGTGGCCAAGCAGCTGGTGAAGCAGCAGAAATACAGTGAGATCCGGCAGCTCCTCAAGTGCGTCAATGAGTCTGGAGTTGCAGCCAAAAATGATGGGGATGATATCATCCTAAACTGCCTGAATGAGTTCAAGAATATTCCCTCAGAGGTAAGGCTGCCCCCACCACACTGCCCTTCTCAAGAGAAATAGGCAAAGGAGAAGCAGGCTATCTATAGTCTACTGGGAAAGAGGCCATCAGGCTCTTCATGCCCCTTAGTTTATATGTGGTGGTTAAGAATTAGGTGCATGTTCACATGATAACACATGGCTGTTCAAGGGGGATAGCTGGTCTACCTGCTGCACATTCCTAACCTTCAACTGGCCTGGAGCTCTGCAGCAAGTACCTGTAATAAATCCCCTTCTGTGGGATCCTCCCTATGGTTGCTTTTTGAGGTAAGGAGAAGCTCCCTTCCACGCATGTCTTGCTGGCAGAGATGGTGAAAGAGCAATGCCAAAAGTGTGTTCTCAGGATCTGCTGTGTATGTAGGGAAGTGCCCATTGAGGCTGCCCTGCCCATGACATAGCCTTGACATTGCTGTGGAGAATGGGGATGCTCCCTCTGCTTGAGGTTGCTTGGAAGGGAGTGGAGGAAAAGCTGTCCTATCGTGGTCCCTGAAGACAGTGCATAGATGTGGGCCCAGGGGTAAGCAGACATAAAGGGAAGACTTGGCCTTGGCACCTTGTGTACCTGGTTGTGAGCTCGTTGACCACTTACCTGTGCAGTGGTTTGGTCCCTGATGAGACAATGATTTGCAAATCATAATCGCTGTTAATTTATATCAACCACTTTCTTTTCTGGGTGCAGGATCTTGACAATCTGATCCAGGATATGGAAAGTGATGAAAACAAGGTGAGTAAAGCCTGGTGGGCAGAACCTTGAACCATTGGCAGGAGCAGTGTCTGGCACGTGCAGATTTGCTCCTTAGGCTCTCTGCAGGCAGTGCTACCACTACTCCATGTTCCACGCTGACTCCATAGAAAAGTTTTGGGGCCTGCTTGTTAGACCTTATTTGTAGATATATCTGTGCCTCCTTTTGATACTGAGAACACAAGGATGTTACAATAGACTTGGAAACCTTTGATTGTTGTCTATCTTCCTCCTCCCTTGCTTTGTAGTGGGTATCCCTGGGTTTGACAGTGGCATGGGGAATTAAAGGCAGCTTGAACAATCACTTGGTTCCATTCAGTTCTTTGCATTGATTTCTCACAGGCTTATTTAATTTCTTAGGCAGCTGATGGGGAATCTGGTGAGCATTCAAATCATTGTTGTTCCAGGAATCTAGTTTCATTGGGTAAACACCTGGTACCCCCTCTCTCTCTCTGTTTTGACAGCTTTTCTTTTTTTCAGTGGAAGTTTAGGATGCAAATGCATGAATCATAGGCACTATTAAGTTCTCTACTCCTCTTTAATACAAGGCTCTCAAATGGTTTTACATTTACATATGAACAAACTGGCCCAGAGTTTAAGTGATTTCTTAGTCCAAGGTCATAGAGTATAAATCAGTGGCAGAGCTGGGAGTCCGGACTTCTACCAGACTTGCCATTTTATATAATGTGAGAAACTGTTTAATTCTATTGCAAAAGGCTTAGTAACTAAAATGACCCCTTAGGCTCAGACAGTAGGAGAACATGTGTCTATGAATGTTGGCTGTGGAAATTTGGAGGTGTTTAAACATGAACTAAATCTAATGACCACAAAAGCATCAGGATTTTTAAGTATTAAGGAAGTACCGGTCAGTAGCAACGGCTAACAATATAAACAGACATTGTCAAATGTCATGGATCAGCTGTGCTGAGATATATCACCCAATCATTGTCCCATTGATGCTATGGGACAGTGCTCTCCCAGGGCTTGAGGGGCCAAGTCCTATGCACCCTGGGAATTTCTGCGTAGAATGCGACCCCTCAAGCCCTGGGAGCAGCTGTCTGGCTTTCCCTGCTTCCTGAGATGCACCCCTGGGATCTCGAGAATGACTCAGATTGGTACTAGCTTTATTGTGGCCATGTTGGCGTCATGAGAAAAGGCATGGACATCTGTTTACAATCAAAGGTTTCACCTGTTCTTATTCTTGAAATTGCCACTCCTATACCTCTCTTGCATCAATATGCATGCCCTCTAATCCTACAGCCTGATGAACTGGGTTTCCCAGTAGGCCCTCATTCAAACCTGTCAGGGGCGACACATAGGGGGTGCACATGTACCCCCTGAGTGTGGCAGGGCACCCCCTACAAAAAGGCAGTGCCTGGGGGCAGTTGCTGCTCACCACCCCACTGCCAACACAACTGGTGGTGTCTGTGGGCGGTCCATGATCCCTGCTGGCCACTGCCGACACTCCAGGCAGTGGCTGTAGGTGGTCGCCGATGCTTGGTCAGCACTTGTGGCCCCAACAGCACTGGCGGCATCTGTGGGATCTCCCCTGCTTGCCACTGCCGTGCCCCCCCCAGCCACCGGGGGCATGAGTCATTCATCGAACCTGTTATAGGTTAGAACTGTTAGAGGTTTCAACTGCTGGCTTTTTGTTTCAGATCCGAGCCTACCTGCTGTGCAACAAACTGCGTTCTGCCTACCTAGTCTCGGTGAGGCAAGAGAACGCTAGAGCTGTTCAGCTGGTCCAGCATGTACGTCAACTGGCTGAGGACAGTGGAGAAGATGTTGTACAGACCATCTGTGTCCAGTGGCTTTCAGTACACCAGCCCAAGCCAAGGAACTGGCTGTCCCAAACCACTAGGAAATAACTATACAGCACCTGTAAAGGGAAGACTGAATATGGCACAGGGATGTGCAGTTCAGTGATCTCTCATTGAGAGGGAAGTCTCTTGACTGGCTTTGGTGGCAAGCAGGAGATGTTAATGTGCCTCAACTAAAGGGAAAGGAATTACTTCATGCAAGTGCCAATCTTGTGTTGTGGTGACCAACAAGCTCTACCTCAAGGGGGTGTTTTGTAAATGTTAAATCTGAACAAACAGGACTTAAGGATGATGGAGAAAAGCACTTCTCCTGTGTTTTGAAAGGCACTAAACATTGTTGGCGTTTTGTTTTAACCCAGCAAACCTGTGTATAGATGATGACAACCAAATCCCATGTCAGTTCAGCATAGATTGTAGCAGACTCGTTGATTCCTATTATCCAGAACCATTTTATAGAAAATCCATAATCACGAGGTGGGAGAAATTTTGTTTCCACTTGCATAGATTTCTGACTGAATTTTTGATGCGGCTTTTTAAAAAGGATCTATACTAATTATTATCACTAACTTTTTTACACTAGCACAATGTGCACAAATTCCTTAGTTGGTTTTCTGAAAGGTAGAGGGTGGTTCTATTTGGGAGGTTTCTGTGTGCGTTCACATGAGCAGGTGTTTGCCTACAGGGCCCTTAATGAAGAGAGGCAGTCCAAAGGGATGCATTTCCTCAAGAAAGGAAAACTTTTAAACTAGGGCAGGCATGTTGAACGAATGACCCATCTCTTTCTTTCCTAACTTATCCTCCAAGATTAAATTGCTTTGTAATAGGTATGGCATTGGATGATTGAAAGGACCCTTTTTCTCTTCATTTTTCTTAGCTGGAGTAGATACCAGCTGAATTAGAGCATTTCAGCACAGTGGGAAATGTAGCTTGCTTTAAACAACGAGCCTTTTAGAGATGTGGCGCATGAAGGCCTATCCCAGAATAGGCAGCACTTGTTCTCACTACAGCAATCTTTCTCCTTCAGACAGTTATACACTTTAGACTGACTTTTTTTTTATTAATAAAGCTGTATTGCTAAGGTCATCATATGGCCACACCCTTGGTCTGGAATGAACTGGAGATGGGCAGAAACCAGTGTGGCTCAACTAATGTTCCTTCAACAGTTGTTGCTGCAGAGTCTCTTTCTCTAGGTGCCTGCTGCTGACTTGAAACAAAGCAAATGCCACGTTCTCCCAGTCCACTTTAGTTGCCAGGATGCATCTCTAGTGTGAAGTGGCTTTATTCTGGGATATTGGAATAGGCTGCTACTTCTCTGCTGCTTTTATTCAGAGAGAAGAAATGAGCAGCAGACATGAGGATTTTTAAGTGTTTCTAGCTCTGGCCTCCCCAAAAAACGCCTATACTGACACTGATGCAGTCTGTTAACTTTTACCTGTGGAGAACCCCATTTGTTGTTATATAGCAACACCTAGTGCACTGGTTCTTCACTTGCCCCAAATGCGGTGTTTAGTTTCTGAAGTTCCACTACATGAGGAGGCCAATGAATATAATAGCACCATTTTTATACTTGCTACACCAACAAAGCATAGATCTCCAGGAAAATGAAAAGGAGGTAGTTAATCTTCTCTGGAGTGTTTCGTGACCACTGTCCCACTGACGTGCCTTGCCCTGCTGATGATGCTTAGCTCCTTGGAGTGTGGCGTCAGAGGAGCTAAGCAGTTGGTAGTGACTACATTTAGCTTACAGAATCCTCCACCCCCAGTTTCAAAGAGATCCCAGTAGTGAGCAAAGCTAATAAAAGCAGCTTTTATCATTCTAGCCAGACTGAACTAGCTTTCCACTGTGTTGCAGGGTCAAGCTAATCGTAAGCATATGTTGGAGTAATACCACATTGACAAGTACAGGGGAGAAGTTAGTGCTATTAATGGATACCCAGATAAGCACAGCTGTAGTAATGATTTGCCTGTTCAAGATCCTCCCACAGCTCTGTATTATACAGGGGAAAAAATGGAAACTGCCACATTGAACAGTTATTTCTGTCTGCCTTTCTGCTTGACCTCTTTGCACTGTACTTTATGCACTTTATACAGTGTTTGTTGCAATTTGATAGTCCTTAACTCAGTGTTATAGGGATCCTTTTTTTCCTTATCAGCAGAACTGGAATTTCAATCCTGACACAAACTGGCTTGTATCATGAGTATTGTGATTATTCATGGGCTTAGAAACCCCAGGCATCAAATTAAGTGGAGCACTGACACTTAGAAGAATTTGTATAGTGGTGACTGGACTGTTTTACAGTGAACAAAGGATAATAATAAATATTATTAGAAAAGATCTTTTTTCTCTGTCCCTCTTTATTTTACTGCTAGCCTGTTTGCTGTTTTGGGAGTATCTAGTCTGCGGATACATCTAGCTCAGAAACTAAATACCACGTTTACTCGCATACCGCACACAGCTTCCCCACCGCAACATTATCTATTGAAAACTGGTGTCGTGTCTTTAGCAGAGAAGCTGATTTTTCTTCTCCTAGTAGCAGTAGTGGCTACTGCCTTCTCAAAAACAAGGTCTAATTTGAGGGTGTGAGGCATACTTGAAAAATTGGGTAAGCAAAAATGCCCGTTGGGTTGTTTAGACCAGGAAGCCAGTACATTGTGTTTAATTGTACCCTGCACTTCCTAGTTGGGACAAAATGTGAAATTTGAAAGCACTTCAAAATTTAATGAGGGAGCCAGTGTACAATTTGTTTCTTATGCTAGATTTACAAGTTCTTAACCTAGTTTAGTTTTTTACCTAAAGCCATTGGAAGATTGTGGAACAACTCGTGTTACTTAGCAGTATTGTTTCATACACCAGCCTGTTTTGGTTAAATTGCACCCTATTCCTTCAGAAACATGACAGCATTTTGCAATGTAAGTCACCCAATCGGTACAGCAGCCCTGTGGGATAATCCTAATAAGCTTATAGTCCCCATTTTGGTGCTTAAGCCTAGCAGAAGCAGGCTATGATGGAAGCCTATAATACAGCAGACACTGAACTCTGAAATTTAGTTCAGAATGCTTCTAAATAGTGCTACATTAACCAGTCCCTCTCTTGCCCTCTCAGAAACGCACCTCTTCTTCCTCTTTTTAATAGTTGGTATGGAAAGGGAAGACAATCTGAGTTGGGTCTGTTTTTGTTTTTTATTCTAAACACATTATAGGACCCTATCTCCTGCTCACCTCTCCCCGTCTTGAAGAATAATTTTGACTTCCAAGGCAGGCTTTTGCGATTCCAATCTACCGAGGAACCCATGAAGAAGTTCTGAAGTGCTCTGCTATCATGACTTGCTTGTATACCTGGGACCTGCTAGTGTGAACTCCTGTGAATGGGGGACTTTTGCAGCCTCCCAAGCCCATGTTCAGGCTGCCAGGCAAAAGCACCAATGCAAAACAGCTTTATCACAAAAACCTCTAGATGAGCTTCTCTCCATGGAACACTTGAAACCAGTGCATCTAGGCACATATTACACTTAAGATGCGATTAGTCTATTAATCACATCTTAAATAGTAACCCAGCCACACATTCCAGCATTTAGTGATGCCACAAATAGGGAAACTAGCTATAAAAATATTACACTTTTTGTGTGCTTTTTTTGTGGTTGGTTTCTATTGCACCTTAAACTATGTGGCAGAGTTGGGACTGCACTAGGATCTCCAAATAGCCCCAGGGCCATCCCTTCCACTTGATGATCTGCTGACGGTTGGCTGGGTAGGGGACTGCACCAGGGCTTGGACTGGCTCCAGGTCAGTCCCAGTCAGCTGGCGGTCAACTGCCCATCAACCAGCTCCAGGGGGTTCACTGGGGTCAGTTCAAGTCCCAGTACAGTCTTGCAGCCAGACAACAATCAGCTGAATGTTGGGCACCTGTCTTAACTTGGGCTGGTGCAAGGGGAGCTTGGGATCACAATCCCAGTCTTCCTCTGCACTGGCATGGCAGGAAGTACAACTGTTGGGATGGAGGATCAGATCCCATTGTGTTTTTAAATGAATGCCTACCACCCACTCAAGAATAACTAGATAACACATGAAGGAAGACCTAAAACAGTGGCATCAAATGGGAATTGCTTTATTTAGTAAACCTCAAGAGATAGCTGGGGCTTGACTTGCAGTGCCAGCCTCCAGCCAGAAAGTTGCTGCTAACTTCACAAAGAAATAAAAACCTGTTTCTTAAAGCAAATGCTCTTCAGAAGTGACCATATTATGGACAAACTTAAAATGATGTAGATCATCTCCCCTGATTAGAAAACCGCACCAGCTGTGCTACCCTACCTGAAGTGAGAGTCTTTAGGCATGTGACCCATCCAATAAATTATTTGCGGTTGGGCGTACAACACAGAAGCAACATTGCAACTTGGCAACTGTTTCTGTGAGTGTTTGGCTTTTGTATAGGTGCAGCAGTTACAAACTTGCCCTTCACAATAGAACAAGACTAAAGTGTCACTAGGATCATATGGCAGCCTTAGCCATTCTCTTCCTAGACTTACTGGGCAGGACAATGTCTTTGTAAAATGAAGTATGCCCTGTGGCTACTGCCACTTTGGACTAGGGCTGATCCCTCCTTGGCCTGCCTACTGCACATGTAGCTTCACTTCTAAGAGCTGCTATCAGGTGAGCAAACTCAAGAGTGTGGGCTTGAATTCTAGCCTGGCTAAGTAGATGACAGTTCCTAGCATTAGACGTATTCTGCATAACATACTCTTTATGTTCCCTGCTCCCCTTCTCCACAGGCAACTTCCTCCCTACTGTATTCAACTGTAACACTGTTCCAGTACATGTCTTTTTTACTGTCACAGTATTATGACCTCAGTGTAGAACAGTGTAAGATATGTTAAACTTCTCTCCTTCTAAAAAAAAAGTAGGTCCTTTGGCAGCTCAGCACAGCTTGTCTCTTGCAACCCACATTAGGTGGAAGTGACAAAAAGGAGGCATTAAGTGCTTACATCACTCTTGAGTACTTCGGTCTCAGTCCCTAAAGAGTTAGGGAGTAGTGTTTTTCATTAACTGTGTTTAAACAGTGCATAGCACAATGAGACCTTAGTAGAAGGTTCAAGTGATGGACAATAATGAAGGCTACAATTTCTCTCTGAAAATTAAGAAATTGTCCCTTTGTGATACAGCCTGCCACTCAGAGAGGAGAATATCAAGAATCACGGAAGATGTGGTTCAGCTAGATATGGCCTGAGGTGCTATGTCTCCCAGCTAAAAGAACCTGCTCCCAAGTCCTATAGCTGAGATGACCAAATGGCTCAAATTGCTAGGGAACATCTCCAACTGACCTGGTTACAGTTGGGGTTCAGGGCTGCAAAAAGACCCTTCCAAAAGCAAAATCTTTATGTTGCCTTGCATTGCTAACCAAAATAGCCTGCAGTCCCTCTTCTAAGCTGGCCCTGGGGAAAGAATGCCAGCTATGGGATAGCCTGGGAATGCAAATCAAAAACGGTGAGAGAAGATGCCAACTCACTGCATTTCTGTCCTGAACCTCTACCCATTGGTCTCATTTCTTTTAAACATAAAATATTTACACGTTTTAAGTTATATCCAAAAACCACTGGTAGGGCAGCTGGATGCACCAGGTGTTGTCAGGTGGACCCGTTTCCAGTTCCCAGATGAGAAGATCACCAGGAGCCACGGAGTCCATCCAGCTATTAATTTCTACTGTTCAGTCCCACTGGATGCCCAGGAGCTCACAGCTGACTTTCCAAAGCTTCTTTGCTGTCTCGTCATCCCGGCCATGAGCAGACACATATGCTGGCTGACAGTCACTGCAGAACAAGAGAGGAAGCTTTCATCAAGGGCTCACATCTGGAGCAGCATGGCTAAAAAGTTGCTGCTAACACCTGCCAGCTAATCGCTTTCAAATCCAATTTAAAAATAAAGAGGCTGGGAAATTACCTAGCAGCATAGCTCAAGAAAGGGGAAAGAGTAGAGGCTGCTAAGGAGTCTGGCACACAGAACCTCAGCTTCTTGGTCAGTGTTGGAACCGGAGGTGGTGTTGGAACTGGAGAGGAGAGCTGGCAAATGAAAGCTCACTGCGACCCCTGTAGGTCCAAGTTGAGTCCACTGTTTGAACCTTTACAAAAGCCTTAAAGCAACAGCCCAATACTACAGCAGCATACCCACCTTTCAGGGAATTACCATAAAAGTAAAGGGGGAGATCATTAATGTGTATGGTTACAAAGCTCCACACACTTCTAGGGATCACATAAGCCTGAATAACCCATGGGTAGGTGGCCATGGGGAAGGGAGGTGATGATGGCCCTTTCATGCCAGAAGCACAGGTGGGCAATAAACTGTGCTTGAAGCCAAGATGGGAGAAAGGTTTATTTTTCATACAGATGTCAGTTCCCAAAAAGACACTGGGAAACTCGTACCTCAACGCATTCCCGTCAGGAGCTGGCACTTGAAGGTAATTTTCCAAGCCACCACGGGTCGTGTAGGAAGCTCGTGGTGAGAGGTTAGTTGTATTAGCCTGTGTCCCCACTTAATAACCAAGGCTCTTCTATGTTTTTATAGTCTTGCTCTCTTACAGGAATGATACAGATAAACTGATATCACTAAGAAAGACAGTTCCACATTTACAGACTCGAAAGCTCCTCAGGAAGAGCATGGGTGTGACTGGAGAAGTCAGAGTCCTTTATTTTTTAAAGTACGTTAAAGCCTCAGCGTAACCTTCTCTCTCTTGGTGGACACGTCCCTTTGGCAAATATGTAGCCATTGTTATTACAGCCTTGTCAGCCAGTTTTCTCCCCAAACCTCCTCTGCTCGTTACTTCCTCCATTCCCCCTCTTTGTTATATAATGCCTGCTGAAAACAGATTGTATGCACTTTGGAAGAAGTATCATGTTCCCATCTCTAGTGTTGTACAATAATAACCTGAGATCTCAGGAGAAGAAAAAAGAGAAGAGAAGAGAAGGAAAGAGAAACTCGTCCAGAACTGCTAAGCCTTTTTAGAACATGCCCAGGAAGATGGTCTGAGCGCGGGAGGTGCTTTGGAGCTTAGGGACCTTGCCATTGCCTAAATATGGACAAGCCGTTTCTACTGCTCGATTTGTTCAGGTTAAAAAACCCCCAATTAGACTGTGGAATGCACAATAAAGTGAAAGGAACATTAGAAACCTCCCTCAGTTTTTGGAACTAGGCCCCCTGGCCTACATTAGCCCTATATACCCACACTTCCTCTTCCCTAATCTTGGGCTGATGAGTCAGTGTTACCCCAACCAAAGCCTTCAGGGCTCAGCAGAGCTCTTGGATCCCATGAATGGTCATGCCAGGGGCTGGATACAGTGATGTCCAGTGTCTACCCACTTACCTTCCCCCACACCCTCCAGCTAGCACCCTATACCTGAACTGGTCTGTATACTGTATACCCCCAACTCTTATCCACTGCCTCCATGCCCACATCCAGCAGTCCAAATAACCCAAATCCACTTCCATCTTCACCAAGTCTCCTCTCACCTACCTCCTCCCTACTCCAAAGATGGTTCCACAGCACACCTTTCCTTAACCCCACACTTGGCCTTGCAATCTCTTCTTCAACCGTGGTCGACTGATGTTGCCCAAGACTGACAGGCTGCTTTCCCTCAGCACATTTGCAGTTGCATGTTTGCAGATCAATTTGCCTACAGAAGCAGGCTCGGCAAGGTGTTTCCTTCCCTTCCCTCCCACCCCCACTCCCCTTTCCTCTCCATGTTGGAAACACTTCACCGTTACACGTAATGTATACACCTGCCCCCGCCACAGTCTGGCATTCTCTGCTGCAAAGGAGAATGCCAGAATATAAGTAACCTATTACTGAAAAGTTTGATTATAGTGGCAATTTAAATAAGGAAGGAAGATTAGAACTGATGGCAGAGGCACCAAACATCTTGAGATTTTCACAGCTCATCTGGGATGCAGCAAATAAAAGGGACACAAGCTGTCCCTAAAAAGTCAGGGCAGCCTCTAGCTATTCCATGCCTCCTCTCTCCTACAGAGGTTATCTTAAATACTAGTGATGATTGTACTTGGCAATCAAGTGACTAGAAGCTCTTCTAGAGTAAATTCAGTACAAAATTAGACACAAAAAAGAAATTAAGCTGCTATTTTGCTGATTGTATCTTTCCTGAATTCACCAGTTTCCTCCTTTAAGAGCCTGAAATCCACTTAAAGTTCACAAGCTCTGGTGTATGGGACAGCCAAGATTCATATATAGAGTATTTATCTGCTGGGAGATATAAGCAGTCAAGGGAGGATTAGGGGCTCTCTTTATATAGCCACAACACATCAGGACAGTGCAAACATCACACCTGAAAAATCAGGCAAATGCACATACTGCACTAACTGTGGAGCAGTCACAGGAGAGGGGATACAGATAGGAGTTCTGTCTCACATATGCTGCAATCAAGCTCATGCCAAGGGTCAGTTTCCCTAGCCAATTCCTAAATGTGATGTGGTCCCACTGACTGGAGAGCATAAAGGTACCTCTGAGTGAAGTTGTTCAAAGGCTTTCTCAAAGCCTAACAGGGGACAGTTCAATGATTCTGGGCTGGGTTTTGAAAGGGAAACCAAATAAGAAAGGAGGAAGGTGTTGTGCAGGTTGATTGAGAAAATTTAACAGAGATCTGGGCAGCATCACACGCACAGGGGTTTCCCTACCAGGAGCTGCCCATAACATACACAGCAGCTCAGCACTTTGTACTTAGGAAAATCAGGCTGCTTTGAGAAGTGCCTGGATTAAACTCTTTGGCCAATAACTTTCACCCACCTGAAATACTGTCCTGTCACGGATTCCAGCTCCTCTGCTACTGCACAATAAATGCTGGTCTGGGCTCCTTCTTGTGGAGTCTTCAAGAAGAAAGAAAACATCTTCCACAGCAGGGACACTACAGATGAGTACCGGGTCAACTCAGACTGCACAGTGCCAGGATGCAGCGCATTTACTGTGACTCCAGTGCCTGCAGCAAGACAGAGGAGTATAGTTCAAATTAGACCCTGCTGAAGCATGCAAGGGCTTTTTTCCAAGGGAAAATGTAATATATTTCCTTGTTTTACCTGTGTACATCTTAAACATTAGGGAAACAAAGGCCCAGATGTGATTACAGGTAAAAAATGAAGTTCCCTCTTACACCTATTTACTAGAAAACAGGGCAACATCCCTGCCAGTTGCAACCACTGCCTAGAGGGAGTGTTAGGTCTTTATAAAGCAGCCTGCGAAGAGGCATGAATGCCAAAATACTAGAGTCTTGTCTCTTGCTTTTGAAAAAAAAACAAACAAAAACCCCCCACAGAACCCCTCCAGTTTACCTGGTGCTAGGCCTATAGATAAAAAACCTCCTTTTCCATTTTTCTAACCTGTATTTAAGACAGCTGGGGGCACTGCAGCTTTTTCACTGTGGATTTCAGTACATATGCCAAGCACAGCAGCATTTAAAACCTTTCCAATAGCAGCTCTTATAGTACAGCTGAACCTTTATCTGGATGCAGCTTGTTCACAATTTTGTTTTTTGGCAAGAATTAAAAAAAGACCCATTCATCTGAGCAAGGCCACCTCCTGCCCTTGCCTTTCTACTGTGGGTATGAACATAGCCTGAGAGCTCCTGGCTCCTGAGGATTGACTACATGGGCTCCCTGCTCTAACCACCTGCCAGGGCCCAACCAAAGCCACTCACTCACTCCCACCTTAAATGCCATGATTTCTAAACAGGACCTAAAATGAGCCTCTTCCTAGAACCATCTCCACACCCCAAGGTGTGAGAGACTGAATAATATCTCAGCTGGCATCTGGTCAGCTTCCTTCTCAGACTTGCCTTGCAGCCTCCTGGCCAGCTCCCGCGTGAAGTGGACATTAGCCACTTTACTTTGGCAGTAAGCCAGGCCCCGTTGGTAGAATTTCTCCCCTTGGAGGTCATGGAAGCGGATCCTGCCCACGAGATGGGCCAGTGAGGACACATTTACGATGCGGGCTGGGGCCGACTGCTTCAGGCGTTCCAAGAGCAGGAAGGTCAGGAGGAAGTGACCTAGGAGAGAGGAGATTGCGGATACTTTGTTCTTCTTTTGTGCCTTCCTGACCAGAATCTCAAGAGTGCTTTGGCACACTGAGGCAAGCCATTATTTACCCCATTTACACATGGCAGAAGCAAGGTCTGAACATATCAGTGCCCAAATTTTGGGTGCTCAACTTCAAATAGCTAGGGCTGGTGAAAAGTGGCAGTCCCAGCTGATATGTTCAGACTGTGTATTATAGTTTTTATTATTTATATCTAACCTTATCCAGAAAGGCTCAGAACAGTCTACAATAAATGACAAACAACCCAGGACATAAGTTTCTGTAGTATGCGACAGGCAGCTTCCTTCACTCTGCTCCTTCTTGTGAAATTTAGGACTTGCCCAAAAGCATTTAGGGTTAGGAGATGCTCCTCTTCAATTATTTCCCCAGTGGAAAACAGTTTCAGGAAATGGGGATAGACTCCTGGAGATAGAGTCCCACATTGAGTTTTGTCATAGAATTTAATAAAACCTCCTACCCAACCTTTGCCTGCCCTGGTGTTACTCAGTCTCTTACCAAGGTAATTGACTCCTAGATGCATCTCAAAGCCATCCACTGTCTTGGCATAAGGGTGCAACATTACTCCTGCATTGTTAATGAGAATATGGAGCTCTTTCTCGTCTGAAAGGAACAATGGAGAGGATGGGACATTAAGCAAAGAATCAGACAACCACCCACATCTAAATGGAACAAATCAGCCACAGAACTGGGGCAGACTAAGCTGCTGCCATCTCACCTCTCCAAAAAAAGAAAGACCTCTCTCATCCCAACCTATTCCTACACCCTCTACAGATGTCCCAGCATGGAAACAAATGGTATCTTTCCAAGCCAGGGGCATGCAGGCAGGGAATTCAGTGTCTGCCAAAGCCCAATAGCACAGCATGCCATCTCTCTGACTTGATTTTATTTATTCTGTGAGTTTTGTAGACTCATTTATAAACTCATTTGAGTTTCCAGCATCTCTAAAGTTAAATATCAATAGACAACCTTTACGACTTACCAAAAATTAAGACCAGCATAACAGAATTCCAAAAGGTAGTGCACCAGAAACTAGAGAAATCACATCAATTTACAGAACACTTCTACAAAATAAAAATATTGTACCTACTATTACTGCTAAAGTAACAAGTTATTCTGTTTTTTTATATTTTAAGATTCTTTTTAAACTTTGTACACAGTCAGTTTTATGGCTTCCTCAATTTATGCTGCATTTCAACAAAACAGCAGATAAGATAAGATAATTAAGGGGGAAGAAAGATAGATCACAACCACAAATACTGGAAGTGAATTTAAAGACAATACTTGTGGCTCATTTTCCTTTAAAATTAGCTGGGTTTGAAGCTGAATCTCCTCCATCTATTTCTTTTCTCATGAAACCTACAAAAGGCTGATAGATGAGCCCAACCAGATTATGTGCTCATGGGTGGTCTCCCTTTTTTAAATAAGGTCTTTTTAAACAAGCATCCTGCTCAATCCCATTCCTATTTTAGTTCGACAGAGCAGAGAGCTACTGTTGACCAAACATACTCACCTAAAAGCAAAGGCAACAGCACCCAAGGAGGGCCTTACCTGCTAGAAAGTTCTCAGCAAACTGTCGAATAGACTTAGTATCCGCCAAATCCAGTTTCTTCATAATTACTTGCTGGTTTCCTGTCTCAGCTCGGATCTCACAGGCGGCCACTTCCCCCTTTGCTGTGTCTCTGCAGGCCAGAATCACTCTGGCACCTGTACAAGGAAAAGGAAGAAGAAACATGAGCCAAGAGCTGGGGGGCAGCATGGGGAGCAAGTGCAAAGGCAAGCCAACTGGCTCCCCTAAGGTACACCATGAGCAAGATCAGGAAATTCCTCAAGGGGATAGCTGTCAGGCAGAGAGCCTTTACCCTGGAAGTTCTTGGCTCCAATCCAGCTCAGCTAGGGAGCAACAAGCAGTTACTGCCATCTCAAGACTGCTCTCGGGCTGTCACACAAGTCAGAAGAGGGTCCATCCAACTCCTCCCAAGTTGTAGCAAGATTTATAGCAGTGGAGCTAAGTGGGTTCCCAGGCTCCCCTAGTTGGAAACTCATGAGACGAGGGATTTCCAAGACTCTTCAGGAAAGTTCCAATGCAGAAGCTTTCTGTTTCTTATGAACTACGTAACTGCTCCTGCATTATAAGCTCTGAGTCTGGAGTCCCAACAACATTGGCTTCAGCACTGAAAGCATTAGGCCCCACAAACAGTAAAATTATGATCCATTAAAAGGGACCTGCTTCCAACAGTTACAAGTTTAAGTGTTAGGTGGGATCTGTCATCAGGCTACAACCCTGGGCTGCATGGAGTTCTGGTTTAGTTACTAAAACTTAGTCAAGACATCTTTCAGTTCTGCTTCACCAAGTGAGAGGAAAACCCTGTGTAACCCAGCCTCCTGAGCCCAGGATAGCTGTAGAGCAGGTGGGTGTCCCCACCCTGGTCCAAGAAGGCAATGTTGACAGATAATGTAAAGTACAGGGGACGGGTATGGGAGACGTAGTGGATAGGTGACTTGCCTCTTTTTGCAAGATCTCTAGCTGTCTCTTTCCCAATGCCTGTGTTGGCCCCTGTGATCAAAACGACCTTCCCATTCAGCTTAGCCTTTGACTTACAAATGGCTCCTGCAAAGTAATTCCTAGAATAGAGAGAAGGAGTCATGGAGGATTCGTCCTGCCCCTGTGTCCTCCTCACTGGGTTTGCATGAATGACTGTTGTTAGAATAACTGGAGACAATACAACATTTACATGAACTGATTCCAAGTTCCCCGTTTCATACATCCCTCATTCATAGGCCTCATTAGGATTTGAAGCCAGCTGCTTCTCTCCTGAGGCTAAGGTCTATCTAGCATATTTCTTACGCCATCACTATACATGGTCAAGGCATCTTTGATCTCAGTGCACATAATCCCTGCCACCCCACAGACAGTGGTCCAACCACTGCACATTTAGCAGGCATTTTCTGTGATAAACATTTGGTGTACTAAATGTCTTGCTGAGCTGCCTAATCAGCCTGGAGTGGTGAGAGTTACCCTATTGGCTGCTAGGATCAGGTTTCTCTCAGTTTATCCAATAAGCTTCCTCTCATCTAGACTCTCCGAGCCAAAAGCAATGTGATTGAAAAAGCAGGAGATAAAAAAACAAAACAAAAAACAATTCTTTCCTGACACGTGGTTTTAGGACTAAAATACAGGGCCAGAGGAACGCCTGGTGTAAGCTGACTATGGTTATGGCAATACGGTTCAACTGAGGAGGAAATCTGACCCTTTTCCTGTGTCTTCAATAATTATCGTTCTGTTTCGTAGACACTTAACATTTCTGAGAGTAAGCTGCTCCCTTACACAACAAAAATTTAAGAGCGGCTGAAAAGGCAGTGCCAGGAAAGGCTTCCCCTCCACTCCCATCTCTGGCTTTTTACAATTTCATTGCATTGGTTCAGAGAGTCTAGATGCAAGGAAGTAGTTCACAAGGCACGTCAAACTTTAGGCACAGCATTAGCATAAGGGAGGATTAAGTTACTGCCAGCAATTCAGGGGTTTGATGTCCTTCATTGAAACCCAGTAACCAATATTGAGAATCATAGAAATTAAGGCTAGAAATAAGTGGTAGGTCTCAATCCAGTTCAAGTTCCAGGCTGAAGGAAAGATGATTCCCTACCATACACTTCATGCAGAATTCCAAAATCATTTGTTATTTGTCTAGTGAAGTCAAACAAGAAATGAATTGCACCTATATGAATTTACTAGAGCCTTTTGGAACCAAAAAGACTTTGCTTTTCATTAATCATCTTCCCTGAGCTTTTAAGGTCATAATATAGTAATGGTACTAGGCTATGGCACCTTATGGCTTTTTAAAGTGCTAGACAGCTATTAATACATGACACTTACTAACACTGTTGTAAGTAATTAGTTCCATCTTTACAGATGAGGAGCCCAAAACACATATAGAGCTTGATCAAGACTACTAAGCAAGTCAGTACCACATTTAGGCTTAGAACCAAGTATATCCTGACTCCCTGTTAACTGCTTTAATTGTCACACTGTTACTGTCATCTCAAGACACAGAGGGATTAAACTTTAGACTCATGACTAACGTACTAAGTCAGGTGCTTTGCACCCTGGAACTTCTGCCCATATCACTTTCATCACATACTCCTCCACTAAGTCCCTATGACAAATACACTGATCTTCCTTCTCTTCCAACTATTCACAGAGGTATAGAAGTGCTAACAGACCATTAAAAATGTTACAAGCTAACCGACCAATCTTCAACACAGACCTGATGTAGGGCACTAAAATGAACAAAGAAGGACCAAAGACGATTCCCAGAAGGGTTCCCAAGATGACGAGTATCATTGTTGCTGTTCCTGCCGCAGGCTGTCATCCAGCAGAAGCGATCGGAGAAGCTGGGAGGGAGAATTAAGTATAGGCAGGGACCAGAGCATTCTGGGAGCAGAAGTCTAAACCGCCCACTATGTGCGCAGAAGGGAATAGTACTGTATGCTGGGAGTTGTAGTCCAGCAACGTAAACAGTGTAATGTCTACTGTATCACTGAAAGAAAAAGGAGAGGGATAGAGGCAGTGTGAGGAGCACTTCTACCACTCTTCCCCTACTAAATAAACAAAGCCGGTGGCTGCTGTGGCCCCTAGGATGCTGGGGGCCAGGGAAGCTGCGGCCATGGTGCTCCTGCATCTGGGAGCCTGGCCCGCATCTGGAGCGGGGCTCCAACTGGCCAGGCTCTAGTTTTGGGCAGTGCATGCTAGCGCCACATGCGCCACCTGCTTTTTCTCCACACAGGTTTTTTTCACCCTGGGACCTCCCATGGTCAAAACCCTGCCCCACGCTGCAAGGTAGCAGCACAGGGAATGCCTGAATGCACAGTGTGCGGCACCACAGACGGCTCTGCTCGGGTTGCCAACCCTCTAGGATTGCCCTGGAGTCTCCAGGAATTAGATATTCCAGGGCAAATTGGGGTACTATGGGTCAGGTTACAGGGCATTGGGGTGAAAAGGACTTGGTAGTGGGGGTCGACTACAGACCCCCACACCAGGGGGACGAGTTAGGCCTAGAGTTCTTGAGACAGCTCTCAGAGGCAGCGCGCTCAAAGGACCCGGTCATCATGGGTGACTTTAACTTCCCAGACACCTGCTGGGAGAAACAGGCAGCCCAGTCTGCCCATTCACAAAAGTTTCTAACCTCCTTACAGGACCTTCACCTGTCACAGGAGGTGTGCGTTCCCACTAGGGGAAATGCCTTACTAGACTTGGTACTGGCCACAGGGGGCAACTTGGTGGGGGATCTGCAGGTGCAAGGTAACCTAGGGGATAGTGACCACCTATTGATAGGGTTCACTATCTGGAGAAAGGTGGGGAAGATAACTAGTAGGGTGGAAGTGCTAGACTTCAGGAAGGCCAACTTCAACAAGCTCAGGAGATTAGTTAGGGAGGGACTGACTGGTAAAAGCCTTGGAGAGATGGGAGTCCAGGAAGGGCGGGCATTTCTCAAGGGACTAATCCTGCAGGCACAGAAAAGGACCATCCCAGTACACATAAAAGGGGGCAAAAAAGCAAAGAAATCCTCTTGGTGGACCAGGGAAATCCAGGAGAGCCTGGAGGGAAAAAAAGAGGCCTACAGGCTGTGGAAGTAGGGGGCTGCCACCAAGGAGGAGTATACCTGCTTGGCTTGAGCTTGCAGGGAAACAGTAAGGAGAGCCAAAGCATAAATGGAGCTTAGGCTGGCAACAAACGTTAAGGATAACAAAAAGTAATTCTTTAAGTACGTAGAAAGCAAAAAGAAGGTGCAGGGTAACTTAGGGCCCCTTCAGGATGAACTAGAGCAACTGGTAACAGATAGGATGGCCAAAACAGAGCTTCTAAATTATTTCTTTGCATCTGTGTTCCTGGACATGAATACAAAATTGCTGGGAGGAGCAGTCAGCCAGGTCTGACCACTCACATAGGTTCCTTGCTGAGATACAAGACCTCCACCTAACCCAGGAGGTGCACAGTCCCACCAGGGGGAATGCCCTGCTGGACCTGGTCCTGGCCACAGCCGACAACCTGGTGAGGGGACTCCAGGTTCTCAACCACCTGGGCAACAGTGAGCATCGCCTACTGGAATTCACCTTCCAGCGCAGGGTGTCAAAGGCCTGCAGCAAGGCAGTAGCCCTTGTCTTCAGGAGGGCCAACTTCAACAAGTTGAAGAAATTGGTAGAAGAGACATTGCAGTCCTGGAGAGTAGGGGAACTAGGTGTCCAAGACAAGTGGTTGTTCCTTAAGGAGACGATCCTCTGAGCCCAAGGGGTGACAGTCCCAATGCAAGTCAAAGGGGGCAAGAGTGCTCAAAAGCCCCCTTGGCTCACCAAAGGCACTCAAGAACGTCTGAAAGCCAAAAAGGAGGTGTACATCCAGTGGAAAGGAGGGGCTATCACCAAAGAGGATTATACCTCCATAGCATGAGTTTGTAGGGAGTCTGTTAGGAAGGCTAAGGCGGAGACGGAACTAGGGCTAGCAACAAGGATCAAGGACAACAAAAAGTCCTTCTTTAAAAACATAGCGAGTAAAAAGAAGGCACCAGGCAACGTGAGGCCCCTGCAAGGTACGCTTGGCAATCTGGTGGTTGCACTAGATGAAAAAGCAGACCTTTTTAACAAATGATTTGCCTCCATTTTTCTGAGCAGGGACCGGGACTTCTCCCCCACCGAGATTCAGGACAGACTCAGGAGTGACTCCACCAGGCCTAGGGTTAGGAAGGACCGAGTTAGGGAACTTCTGGGGGTGCTGGACATGTTTAAGTAAGCAGGTCCAGGCACTCTCCACCGTAGGGTGTTGAGGAAATTGGCAGGTGTCATTGCGGGGACCCTGGCATGGCTTTACGAGCACTCGTGGTGCTCTGGTGTGGTACCAGAGGACTGGAAGAAGGCCAGCGTGGTCCCCATTTTCCAAAAAGCGAGGAAGGAGGACTCAGGAAACTATAGTCCCATTAGTCTTACCTCGGTCCTGGAAAAAATTGTCCAGGAGAACATCTGCGAGGGACCAACAGGGGAAATTATGCTTGGGGCAACCAACACGGGTTCATTAGAGGCAGGTCCTGTCAGACCAACCTGGTAGCCTTCTACGACCAGGTCACAAAATCCTTGGATGCAGGTGTTGCTGTGGACGTAGTCTTTCTGGACTTTAGGAAGGCCTTTGACACTGTCTCTCACCCCATTCTCATAAAAAATTAGGAGACTGTGGTGTCAACACCTACACAGTCAGATGGGTCACAAATTGGCTGGAGGGCTGCACCCAGAGAGTGGTGATGGACAGGTCATTTTCGACCTGGAGGGATGTGGGCAGTGGGGTTCCCCAGGGCTCGCCAATGTGAGGACACAGTCAGTAAGGCTAACTGCACCTTGTCATGCATCCACAGATGCATCATGAGCAGGTCCAAGGAAGTGATTCTCCCCCTCTATGCAACATTGGTCAGGCTGCAGTTGGAGTACTGCATCCAGTTCTGGGCGCCCCACTTCAGGAGGGATGTGGACAGTATTGAGGGGGTCCAAAGGAGGGCCACTCACATGATATGGGGGCAGCAGGGCAGGCCCGATGAGGAGAGGCTACGGGACCTGAAACTGTTCAGCCTCCACAAGAGGAGGCTGAGAGGTAATTGTGTGGCCACCTACAAACTTATCGGGGGGAGGCAGTAGCAGCAGCAAGAAATAGGGGATATAATGTTTACCAGGGTGCCTGTTGGGATAACTAAAAATAATGGCCATAAACTGGAAGAGAGCAAATTCAGATTGGACATCATGAAAAAATCTTTATAGTGAGGGTTGCCAAAATATGGACTAAGCTTCCAAGGGAGGCGGTGCTGTCCTCTTCCTTGGAAGCGTTTGAAAGGAGATTGGACATACGCCTCGCTGGGGTTGTCTGAGCGCATGTGC